TCACACGTTCAGCTTTCTGTTATCGTAAATATTCTTTTTTGAATTTCTAGCATGGTTCATTCGAACTGGAGTGGTTGACACGGATCTCTGAGGAAACTGTACGGTTGTATTCCGATCTGATGATTGGGGCTCGATGCACAGCACAGACAGTTTCCCATCGTTACAGTAGGAGTGCAGATTCGATCAACTCCGCTTTTTAAGCTTGACGTGTCTCAGACATAATAGCCAACATCCATCTAGCATTCAACACAGGTCCATCTACTTGGTTGGCCATTGAAACGTTGATTCTTCTTGTCATTGGCCTGACGAACGGTGTGATCTCAGATCTCTGGGATCTGGATCTGCGTAGATGGTAAAGAGAGCCAATTAACATCGTGTCCTGTAGGTTCCCGTGTTTAGCTGCATAGTGGGTGCATGTCTGATCATCTGGCCACAAATCAACGAATAGCCCAACGGCGTCAGACATATGTCATTAGCAGTTGTCTTATTGTAATGGCAGTGCCTTTGCTTTAGGGCTTTTGTGATTGTTGTCCTCACACGTGATTCCTGAGTGTCACGTTCGCGGGGACCCCCCGACTCATAGAGGTTGGGGACCTGGGCAGAATATCCGAAGGACCACTTCCTGTCGACAACAACCCATGACTAAGTAGGTGAAGTATTGTAGCATTGAGCCAGATTGGCGAGATGTCACACTCCATATATGATCAAAGGGAGCCGGGATGGCTTGTTCAGGGTATCAGGACCAGGGGCGGCTGGTTGGAGTGCTACGTTGTTGATTTAATAGCTCTACATCAAATCTGATCGATCGTTTGCGTATGAGTGAATCGTAAATATTGTACTAACGTTATCTACTTTTTTATTATAAATGGCTTAAAGACCGTATTGACGGAGGTCCTTGATACACATACTTCGAACGGTTAAGAATGCATCTCTCGAAATATCAATAGCAAAGAACGCGGGGCGGTATTCCGAATCTTTCAACTTATCTACGGAGAAGCCGAATCATCCTTCAATACGTTATTGAAACAAAAAGTGTTTCACGGCCATTGTCGACCTCACCGGCATTGGAACAAATTCGCTGAGGTCGGGGTTTTCAAATATTTGATGCAAATTAATATGCCCTTTTGGCAAAATATTACTATGTAAACGCTCAAGGACAAAGACGCTGAATCGCTGGATTGACTTCTGAGGCGGTCCTTCAGGCTGAGCTCTGGGCAGCCTTGATGATGACCTCACTAGCCTTCTCGGAAACGATATACAGGGGCAAGGCAATGTAGAAACCAGGGATCTTGGGGAAGACACTGGCATCGACAACTCTCAGTCCCTCAGTGCCGCGAACCTTGAACTCAGAGTCAAGGACGGCGTTGGGGTCGCTGTCGGGTCCGATGGGGCAGGTGCACGAGGCGTGGTGTCCCCACGTCTCGTCCTTGAGGAACTGCTTGGTGGCATCCTCGCTGGTGACGTTGGTTCCGGGCCAGACCTCAGGAAAGCTTCCGTCAAGAGGAATCAGGTCAGAGAACGCGCGGCGACCGAACTCAAAGCCCTCGTAGGTGGCCTGGAGATCCTTGTCGGCCTCACCAGCGCTGTTGACTCCCGCGTCGTAGTAGTTGAAGTTGATGAGAGGCATGTCACGGGGATCAGTCGACTTGAGAGTGACAGTTCCGGCGTTGTTACGGCTGTGGGCCTTCAAGACGATCCAAGCCCAGTGCTGGGCGTCGGCAAGAGAATCGGAGGCATAGCCGGGGAAGTAACCTTTGAACTTCGCGGGGGCACCAGAAACGAGCAGATCGGGCTCATCCTCGGCGACGGAAGACTTGAGAATGATAGCGATGGCGATACCGTTGGTGGCGTAGACTCCCTTGCTGATGGGCTCGAGACCCTTCTGGTACTGCTCGAGGCAAGGATCAGGAGACGTCTCTCCAAAGGTGCACTTAGAAGTGATGACGAAGTCGCTGGTGGTCTTGCCGATCACAGTAGCCTCATAGCGATCCTGCATGTTGGTTCCGACACCGGGAAGGTCGACGATAGTAGTGATATTGAAAGAGTCAAGCTCGTTCTTGGGACCAACACCGCTGAGCTTCAGAAGCTGAGGGGTGTTGAAGGCACCCGCAGAGATGATGACCTCCTTCTTAGCACTGACGCTACCGGTACCAGTTGAGGTGGCCGATCCGGAACGGGGGTCAGCACGGTACAGGCTGGCACCCTCCATGAAGTCAACGCCGGTAGCGCGGGGCTTGTCGCCACTCTGGTCGAAGTTGATCTTGGTAACCTGATGGAATATTAGCAACGCGAAAGCAGAGACCCGATCAGGGTACGTCACTTACCAGCGTGTTTAGCTTGACGTCAAGATGATACTTGCGGGAGCCATCTGAGTTGACGGCGTTGGCAGTGTTCAAGATAAGATCGCGAGGACCACCACGAATAGAATCGGTCATGGCCAGAGGAACCTGGTAGAGACCAGTCTGGCTAGCCTGGCCGGGAGCGTTGATATCACGAAGCAACACCTGGCCAAGTCCAACAACGGTGCTGACGAGAGCGGTAAGGATGGACTTGCCCATGGCGGTTCCGGCGGCAATGATCAAGGACAAGAGCTTCTGATCCTCAACGACAAGGGACAGCGAGGTCAAAGAAAGACCGAGCCAGCCAGAGAAGCCGTGGCCGACAACGCTGTTGGGCAAGTACTGAGCGTTCTCAATCTTCTTGAAGTGCTCTCTCATGTTCGTTGCGCTCCAGGAATCGTCACCGGTGAGAGTGGCGATGTTGTCCCAGTCAGAGTCGTGGGCTGCGATACTGATGAGAGCGTTGTGACGAGAGCAGCTGGAAATCGTTAGCCATCTTGGTTTTTCATCTCAAAGATCTCCTTTCAACATACCCGCCCAAGGTTCCTGTGCGAGGATACCAGACACCGAGAGGGTCAGCCTCAGCGGGGGGCTCGAGACCAACGTAAAAGCTGCCATCAGGCATCTGATACGTCATCTTCGAATCGCGCTTCTGCTGCTCGAGATCGGGGTAGTGGTTGACGAAGTAGTTCCACCTGGTGTCCTCAAATTCGGTCGACATGAGATGCATGGCTGGGACCTTCTCCGTCCAGCTATCGCCAGAGTCACCACCGGCATCGATCAGGAGTACCTTGTAGCCGGCAATGGCGAGGTTAGCAGCCACCGGGCCACCACCAGGGCCAGATCCAACAACGACGTAGTCATAGTCATCGAGAGTGCCGTTGTCAGCACGCCTGCCGATGAAGGGATCATGGCGAGCCTGGTTCTTGGGTGCCCTCCAAGGAACCGCACTGCGTCACACAAAGTCAGCTATGGAATATCACCAACGCCAGTATAGCACTGCCTTACAAAGCAGAGGCCGAATCGGCCAGTAATGAAACGAATGTGAGAGCGAGTGTGGCGCGCATCGTGAGTTGCGGGTATAAATGAGTGACAATAGGTGGGCCTTGGAAAAAGAATGAATGACTCTCAACAAGTCATCTGCAGCTTGACTGACGATCGATGACTCGAGGAAACTAGACCGACAGCTACTTCAAGACTGCTTCGAGACGATCCGAAGAGAAAACGAAGCAAACTCCTCGAAGCTTAAAGGAATCTGCCAAGCGGCATGCCGAGGTCCTTTCAGCCTTGCCCCTAAGATGTCCTGTTGCGCTAGGCGTGTTGGTGGTCGTTGCAACAGGCCGATACGACAATTCAAAAGGGGTAGTGGCCGCGAGTTCCATATTTCCTGCCAGGAGTGCAAGTCGATCTTTCCTGAGTTGCGGCTGTTGCGTGGACAGGGTTCTCCACCGCCATCTCTGGTCTGCGGGATTGCGGCATTCTCTGAGGTCGAGATTGCGTCTCGCCACGAGGCCACCTCCCCCGTTCCCTCATTTTGGTGGACCCTTTCATAATGACACAGGGGTTTGTGAAAGGCGAGATGAGCGTTTCGTCGGCGACGACGAAAGCGGCTTGCGCTAAAACAGACGGGATCCTGAGAAACAACTCTGTTCGGCACCCCAGTTGCTGTATTATGAGTTATCATCGGATAATATTATGCGCTAACCTTTGACAGCCAACAGCGTGGTCTGATACTGACTTTCGGACGCGTCCAACAACCCGTTTAGCCCGAAAACTGAAGCCAAGCCGATTATCTAAGGACTTTGTCTCACGATAATCGGCATAAGTCAGTCCATTCACATCCATCAGGGGCTGCGAAGTGCCGCTTGCTCGACGATACAGGGAGGTTGACTCATGCCGACTTGGGCAGAACTTCACTCCAGTCTGCATGCGAGCGGATGGCGTTGGAGCCGATCGTAATGACAGAGAAAATGACACAGACAGGGCCTGAAAGATGTGGTAGCACTGGACGTGGCCCCCACGACAGGCCAGTTGAACCTTCGAGAAATAATCGCAACTCTGCAAAAGGTAAGAGATAGAGGGTCTCACTCAGCTTTGGCCAGGGTTGATAAAAAGAGGTGAAGAGTCTGAGAGCCCAAGCTTCTAAGACAGTTAAGATCGGCACTTGTTGAGGAGACCCCTGACAGCATCCTTGCTAGGCTGATGCAACGGCTTTTCCCCCACTGGCCCAGTTGACAGGTCCCCACTTGGTGGGCATCCTTCCAACGAGGCCTCACTGGACGACATCAAATCTCGAAGAACCCGATCCTGTCGGATGTTACCTGCCTTGTATCTCTTTGAGGAACCTGGCGTCCGCGGGCCTCATCGGACCTGCAGATGACGATGTGGGATACCGATCTAGACAGGTTTGGCTTGCAAGAGAGAGCAAGGGGTACGGATTCGGTGACGGGGGAGACTCCGATAATGTACTGCACTGGAAGCGTGGATGATGTTGATAACGACTGATTACTAGTCTACTATGTGGTATCTCAAAAGAACGCTCATGATGTCTATAATTACATTAACGGAAGTTACTTTTTTTCGGGGGCTCTCTCCTTCCAGCCTGGAGCCGTAATGACATGTGGCCAAAAAAAAAAAAACAAGGAATAAGAATCGAACCATCTACACAGATTCATGTGGTGTGGCCAACTTTCTGTCAGATGATGGGCGTGATGATGAGTGTTCGTTCGTGAATGGCGTGTGGTTGAGCTCGATGAATGACGCGTCGTCTCCACGTTTTGACCTGATGGTGAACTCCTTCTTGACTCGGATCGCCTTGAGAGAGGAGGCTTTCGAAGAAAGTTTGTTCGAACTTGACAGAGGCTTCTGGTTTGAACCCGAGAGATTGGCGTAGTTGGACTTTTGCTGCGTAGTACCGAACACCTTGGGGAAGACCAGACTGAACAACGAGCGAATGGCGGGCATGCATGCGCAGATGATGCCGACTGGGACCTCGATGGTACTCCAGTACCCGACCTCCACATAATCCTGGGTGACGTTGCTGGTGGTGGCATAGCTGGCCAGAGATTGGAGTCTGACAACACTGACAATGGTGACACTGCTGAATGTTAGGCCTGGAAAAGGCGAAGTTATGAGAGAAAGAACTTACAAGAAGCCAACGCTGAACATGAGCATGATCTGGATTTTCTTCTTCATCGACATGGAGAGCTTGTAAAGTTCGCCCAGAGGAAGGATCATGGTGCCGAGATCAAGGAGGATGTTGAAGACTGCCGCTGCCCATCCCTGGATGTTGATGTTGTTGCACTTGGCCTGGTACTCTCCGTCCCATGCCTTCCACGCGCCATCGATAGGCCGGCATTGGAAGATCGAAATCAGCTCGAAGACAATAAAGTACGCCACATTGAGACCGATCATAACGTATGTCGCAATTCTGATCTCCCTGCGGGGAAAGATCTTGAGATAGAATAGCAAGATCGAGATCTTGGTGACTGGCAATGCTCCCAGGTAAAGCAACTCGTCCCAGTAAAACAGCTGAATTCCATGTCAGTCATAAGATTGCAAACCAAACAGGAGAGATACTCACGTAGAGGAACTTCGTGACGTCATCAGGACTGACATTCCACATGTCTTTTCCAAGAGCGACTTGTGAAACTAAGTGGCTGTTAGTGTTTCTGCTTCAACCGCGGCTGTTTGCTGTTCGCGACTTACTGGGAATGGACAATGCGTTGAGGGGTATCATCATGCCCACAGCAATCAACATGACCCAGTCATCAGGTCCCCATGTCTGGGCACCGAGGCATAGTCTGGCCATCACTCTCAAACCGAAACCCAAAAGCCCGAGTACGAGGAACACGACACCAATGACCCATACTTCTTTCGTTCGGTCTCTTGATGGCGCATTACATGTGTGTTTTGAGTAACTTTGCACAACTGAAAGATGTTAGTGATGCATGATCTTGATAAAAAAGACTGGAAAAATGACTTACGCAGTGCCTCTCGTACCGTACAGTTCTCATGCACGCAGAGCGAGATCTTCGCATTCAACTCAACGTTGGTACAGATACAGGTAGCATTTGTGAGTGAGCAAGTCGACTGCAGTGTTTCTTGTTGGATGCATTTCAGCTAAGGCATATCAGTCAGTGCACGATCGACATCTTTCGCGAAGGAAACATACACCGCATAAGGGAGGTGTCTCCGTGGACGCTGCAGCCGAGGTGGTGGTGGTGGTCGCCCCCACTACCACCTGGACGCCGAATGAAACCAACGCAGCAAATGTGAGGAATCTCATCTTCACTTCTTCACCAAAAGATAAGAACAGACAAGAATACGAAGAACAAGAAGAAAATGAAAGGAGGGAATGGTGATCAAAAAATCATGTGTTGGATACCAGGCGATGTCAGTTGTTTATTCAACTTCGCTCTTCCCGGAAGGAAATCCCCATCCGGGGCATCCTTTCTATCTGCCGACGAGGCGAGAGGCGTAAGGCCAAGCCATCCTAGCCCCCAAAGGCTTCCCGTTTCGACGAAGATTGGCCCAGGCTGGTTCCAGTACGTTGGTAGGGAACAGGGTTTGATCAAGGCAATTGCATGTTCATCCAAATCGTTGGTTCGGCAGGCCTCCTCAGTGGGCGGAAAAGGCGGTGGAATCGGCCCCTCTGCGATTCTCTGTCGAAAATCACAATTCCGGCCTGTCTTATCCATGCAACTCCCTGTAAGTCGCCTATATGCGCCCTAGTGGGTTTTCTGAGAATGCAACTCTTTGGAAATCTCGAACGAATTTCAAAAGAAGGAATGGATCTCGCCAGAATTGTATTCCATGAGAGCAAGTTTCCCAAATCGAACAGCATTGCAACATGAACAGCCAAGGGGCACCAGACTAGCGAGCTCATCATCAGTCAGATTGACCAGGTAGTGTTTCGGAGCCCTGCCGCCTAGCCACGTGCCCGCTTTGGGTACTGGAGCCGGCAACTGGTCAGGAGCCTCGTATCTCAAAGAGTCGAAAAAGTCCACAGAGGGCTGTCCGGATTGTGGGTTGTGCTCAATGAAAATGGGCGATGTCGCGAGCCCCAGAGCTGTGGATGTCGTCGAGACCCACCTCATCTGAATGCCCCTTGCCGAACGAATCGCCGCTTTTCTTGGGCGACTGTCGCGTACGGCGGTCTCAGGGTTGAAAGAATTAACACGCCGTATTAATTGAACGTTGACAGAAATTAAGTCGCATAAACTCCGAGCCTTTTTATCAAACCCAAAGGTTATTCGCCATGCGGAAGTTTCAGCCCCGATGTTCACAGTTCATGAACCATTGCATGTTGTTTGCTCGAGCTTTCGTGTTCCGTGCCATGGTACTGGGACCAGGTTGGTTGGAGAGGCTGCATCCTGCAGGGGCTGCAGCGATGTGCCCTGTTTTGGGGAACGACCAGGACGGCCGGGAGGAAGACGCCGCTTCCGCCCTTGGATCAGCGCTTCTGCAGGTTGATCGACAGCTTCATAACGAACTTGTTTTTTATCCTTTCACAACGGCTTGCGAAACTTTCTGACTGCACCGCCGGTGACACCGTCGAACTTTGGGGGCTACAGAGTTCGAAAATGGGGTCATCGGGGAATTTGATTGCAGATCGACGCTGAGCCAAGATTGTGACATTGGCATTGCCCGATAGGAAAAAGGAGGTTCGTTAGGTTATTGCAAGGTTACGTTGACAGGCTGACAGCTCTCTAGGGTCCTGGGGTTTTGTACCAGGGTCCGTCTGAGCAACAGGCCTAGTGCATCTTTTGCACAGACTGAACAATGACTTGTGCCATGGGCTTGGAAATGACCAATCAAGAGGCCTGCGATTTGAGGATCTCTTGTGCTGGCGATCTTTACTTCCCACGAGAATGAGAGTGGGAAACACGGCCTCGTTCCTCGTCACTGTGTGTCGCTCTTTTCCTATCCTAGGAGAAACCTAGGTTCACAGATTCTGCACTTACCGGGAACCTCGGCACCTGAGCCGTCGATGCCGTTTCTAAAAGGAACGACCAAGAAGATTGTTTCGATTTCCAATCTTTTTACCTTTCCGGAGGGTTATGACATCTTGCGGATGCCATCATTATCATACGTCACTCGTTAACAAACCAACACTTTCGCTTCTCAAGTTCCTTTCATAGTCACGACACCATGAAGTCGCATTACTTCCTTTCTCTTTTGCCCTGCCTTAGCAGCGGCGTCCAGGCTTTCCCGGCTTACATGAACGGGCCCATCTCAGATGCCGTTGCTTCCAGGCTATCCGACAAGTTGGCCGGCGCATTCCACGAAGTTCACAAGAAGAGATTATTGTTCGACCCTTTGACAGCTCCGATCGACGTTACTGGCGACCATGAGTTCATTGCTCCCGATTTCGAGAATGGCGACCAACGAGGACCGTGTCCGGGTCTGAACGCCCTGGCGAACCACGGCTACATCGCACGCAATGGTGTTACGAGTTTGGTGGAGGTTACCGCGGGGATCAACACAATTTTCGGTATGGGTATCGATATCGCCTCCATTTTGGCAGTGATGGGCACTGTCTTTGTCGGAAACCCTCTGTCTCTAAACCCGGGCTTCTCCATCGGATACGAGTCTAGTGGTTCTCAAAACATTCTGGGCAACGTTCTTGGACTTCTCGGCACGCCCAGAGGTCTCAACGGCTCTCACAACATTATCGAGGGAGACTCGTCTCTTACCAGAGGCGACTTGTACATGACTGGCGATGCCACGACAATGGTCATGGACCAGTTCCAGACTTTCTACGATATGTCTTCAGGGGAGGGCGACTACAACTTCGACGTCTTCGGCGCTCGTGCTGCTGCGCGCTTCAATGAGACCATTGCGACCAACCCCAACTTCTACTACGGCCCCTTTACCGGCATGATTGCACGAAATGCCGGTTATCTCTTTGCATGCCGCATGTTTGCCAACCATTCAGCTGAGAACCCCACTGGTTTGTTGAGTAAGTATCTTTGGAGCTTACGAAGTATGCAGTCTAGGAATGCTGACGTCGTTCAGATAAGGAAACCCTGAAGAGCTTCTTCGCTGTTCAGGGCGAAGAGGGCAACCTGACCTACAACAAAGGCTGGGAGAGAATTCCTGATAACTGGTACCGTACGCCTGTTGACTACGGTCTGGTTCAACTTAACCTTGACCTCGTTTCTTGGGTGCTGAAGTACCCCGAGCTCGGAAGGTATGCAAATCTGACAGACTTACACACCTGTCTGGGAGGTGATCCGCTAACATAAGTACTACAGCATCGGCGGCAACATGGGTGAAGTCAACAGCTTTGCTGGAGTCAACCTCGGCGACCTGACCGGCGGAGTGCTCAACCTCACGAAGCTGCTGGAGAACAACAACCTCTTGTGTTTCGTCTTCGAGATTCTCAAGACCGCATCGCCCAACTCCCTGTCTACTCTGTTCTCTATCATCGAAGTCCCCCTCAAGCTCGTAACGGACGCTGTTGGCGCGGCAGTGTTGAACCTTGCCTGCCCCGCTTTCAAGGACATGATGGTTGGTGGAAAGAGCTTCGAGGATGGCATCAAGGATCAGTACCCTGGTGCTAAGCTCTCAGGAAATGTACTCTGATGTCCAGAAGACGCAGTGTCACTGCTGAGTCAGTGATGGTCTTGGCGAATTCACGATGCCGGAGTTAGATGGAGAGACGGACTGATACCACACGTAATGATGGAGCGCCGACTTGCCAATTGTATTCTTAATTATCTAATTCTCAACAGCCTCAAGCCTTGCTAAAACACTTTGACTATGGCACTTCTATGTTTTTGACTCCATTTATTGGTTCTGAGACTTTGTTAGGAGCATCAAACATCAAAGAAGGAAATAATGGTCAGAAACTATGTTTTGAGGTCAATGATAAAATCTTGCGGTTAGGCGCTGCACTTTGTACTAGGCTCGATAGGGCTACTACTGTATACTTGGAATCTTAGGCTGCTGGAACACACCAAGGATATAAGCAGCTGTTGTATTAGTCTCATGTCTATTCAAATTGGTGAGTATCGCCGGACTCATCGCAGGACACGAATTCGAAAACAGCTTATTTGTAAGTCTTACGCAATCTAAATACATTTCTCAACACAAAGATACGTTAAAAAGATGCCCTCTTGCTCAGACCGAAGGCAGAGAACAAGAGGCGGAGAAATTAAAACCACCTATCAGCGTTTCATAGTGCGGTCATCGTTCACCCCAATTCCTGGTCGTCTATTCCAACTAAGCCTCCTCGATCGCCGACACAGGACAAACCAGAGTTGAAAGCGTCCGTGTTGGCGCTCAGCACCGTTGGCTCTCATCCCCGGTGTCGACAGCTTGAGCCATAACATTCCATTTGTCGGTTTTGTGAAAGGCTTGCCCACTGGCCAAGTATTCGAAGTACGGCGGCCCAGTGCACTTCCGGTAGGCAGCTTCTGCGCCATCGGCAATGTGGCGATAGGTGTCAAGAACCTTCTGCTTTGTCTGTGGCAGAGGTGTTAGGGCTGCTGCATATAGTATCAGACTGGGGGGGGGATTTTGATTCTTACATCATCATTGCAGAACCAGATACCCATGTTCTGAGAAGGCTTTAGTGGACGAACATTCTCAACAGTCACAATCATTACTTACCCAGGAGCAACTGACACGGCCACTGTCGATGAGTTAGTGATGTTGAACGCCGTATTGAATGAGACACTCTACTTACCAGCTTCCCGGACCAGGACCTCCCACGGGTTTGCCGGGAACCTTGCGCAAGTACTTGACACCTTCCCACCATGCTGACACACTTGCTTCGTGGAGTTTCTGACACTGAACGTCAAAGTCTCCCAGAGGCAACGGATCCGTCGGGTCGTTGGCCAGAACAGAAGAATAGTTTGCTTCAAGGTGCAAAGCGTGTACCATCTCAGGTCTCATGGCCTCAAGCTGACGAACAACTTCTTGGACAGAGCCGTTGAAGTGTTCACCATCAATATCCCACTCGGGCTCCCAGACATCGTACCCTTCAATGGGAGCCTTGAGGGCTTGAGCCTATGAAAAATCAATTTGGATTCCCATCCCGCACACACAGGTATTCGTACCATGAACGCCAAGGGGGCGGAAAGAGCGATGAAGTTGGCGATGCGCATGTTGAAAGAGGATCGATGGTGCGGTGCGATTTCGGTGCTATCGGGGTGGTAGAAAGGATGTTGAACTCTGAGGAAGATGTAGATGTAAAAGGTATGAAGTAGATGGAGAAGACGCTGCCCATTTATATTTCATGTTGTGGCCAAGAAATGATGCCTTGATACCGGACCGTGTACAGGGGCAGTCCATCTCTAAGAGCGCCGAGTGCTTAAGCTCAATACCCGACCTCTTCCTGAATGTCGAGTCCACTGTCCAGAAGTTTCTTGGAAAGAAGCAGCTGCTCCGTTGCCATGAACTCGTCAGACCATGACCAGACTGCAGATACGATGGGGAAGGGCGACATTGTGGAGAAACAAACATCCCATCACGAGTATTCTCGGATCAACCGGCCGACAAGCTTGTGTGGTAGCACAAGTCCATCGAAATACGGTGGTGGCAAACAAATGAACCAAACCAACAACGTAGCAGTTGAGCTCTGTGGGGACGTGCAACTACATTTCGACGACCCAATTGCAATTTTGTTGACGCCATGGTTTGCTAACTCTAGACCAGTAGGTGGTGTATCTTTACGGCCGGCAACTAGCAAGCATGACTATATGTGCCGGGAAAAGATCCAGCTTGATACTTGTTCAAATCGGGAACCAAGCATAGTGCTGCAGTCAATCTTCGTCGAGGAGGCATTGTCTCTTAGAAAAGAATCAGAAGATCCAGGTCATGTGCACCATATTTCGGCTCGGCGCGAGATTCCATTTCACTCCGTTGGTCTTCGAAGATGATACACAGCAGATCCTTTGACCACTTCCTGGTCTTGTTCTCTGGGTTTCATCAAGAGGACTGCTCGTATCAGGACCAACAGCCCCAAGAGGCGCAGCATTACAGAATCGCACGGACTTTAGCCAACAACCTTGCAGTTGAGATGGGAGTCTGTCATGCATTCGTAGGCTGCAGTCACTGACCACCAGTTTGTCTGTCCACCCCTGTCTATCACGGTGCCCTTATCAAAGTCAGAGTACAAACTTGATCACAAACGACATGCAGACTCAAGATGTTGCAATCAAATCAATTGAGAACAAAGAGATGAGATGCGTTTGTGAAACAAGCAAGCATTCAGTCATCTAAAGCCATCGTCGAAAACCCATGACCATCCACTTGGCGTAGTGTTTGAATTGGACTCATGGATAGATTTGTGACAGAAAGTACGAGGCGGAACCGTCATCGAAGCCCAATTATCGCTTGTAGCGCCATACATACCCCATGTAGTGGCAATTATCCCATGTTGATTGGGTTTGTGTCGAGATCGTCAACATCCATAGTGTCACTGAAAATGATGGCAAATAACAGTGTATGTTTGTATCAAATTGGGGGGAAAACGCGACCAAGTATGTTCAAAACACATTCATCATTCGCTTTTCATCATCTACTTCATCAATCTTGTTGGACACAGTACTTTACAACTTGGCGTGCTTCTCGTTGACGAGAACGTATCTGTAACGAGCGTGACCGGCCTCCATATCAACAATAGCCTGGTTTGCGTCCTTGAGCGGGCGCTTCTGGACCCAGGGCTTGACCTTCTTCTCGACGGCGAGATCCAACATCTCACGGATATCGGAAGGCGAACCAATACCGCTGCCACCAACCTTGATACCGCTGGCAAGCAGGGTGAAGGCGTTGATAGCGGGAAGGTTGCCTCCATCAGGGGCACTAAGACGGCAGTTAGCATTCGTCCGACATGGAGGGCGCAAGCAAGCGTGACTTACCCAACCTGGATGAAGGTGCCGTAAACCTTGAGCAGTCTCAAGTACTGCTGGAGAGGCATCTTGTCGCTGGAAACCGTGCAGACAATCAGGTCGAGGCTGCGAGCGTACTTCTTCGACCAGTCGGCGTCATCGTCGGTGGCAATGTACTCGTCGGCGCCAAGCTTGAGGACCTCGTCCTTCTTAGACGCCTTTCTGGAGATACCAACAACCTTGTCCGCACCCAGAGCCTTGGCGAAGAGAACGCCGAAGTGACCCAGGCCACCAACACCGACAATACCAACCGTCTTGCCAGGTCCGCAACCATTGTTCTTCAGCGGGGAAAAGACGGTAATACCACCGCACAGCATAGGCGCGGCATCCTCAGAGGGCAATCCCTCAGGGATCTTGATCACAAAGTGACCGTTCGTTCGGTTGTAGTCGGCATAGCCTCCGTAGGACTTGCCCTCGCCGTCGGGGTACACGGAGCCGTAGGTGCTAACGTTGGCACGACCACAGTAGTTCTCGCGTCCGATCGAGCACTCGGGACAGTCGGACTTCATGCAGGAGCGAGCCTGGGCACCAACACCGACGCGGTCGCCGATAGAGATGTCCTTGACATTCTTGCCGACGCGGACAGCCTTGCCGACGATCTCGTGGCCGACACAGCAGGCTGTTTGGCGGCAAGGTTAGTACGCGGCATTTTTCGAGAGAGAGGGGTCTGAGCAGGCGGGGTAAAACACGACGAGAAACTCACGATAAGGGGTCTCGGCCCAGCCCGAGCGCAGCATGTGAAGGTCGGAACCGCAGATACCGCAGTGGGAAATCTCGATATCGACATCGTCTTCAGTCCACTTCTTGGGCTCGAAAGCACCCCATTCCATCTTTCCATTCACGCTGTCGGGGCTGTGGCCCAGCCATCCCTCAAACTTGATGTCGGACATGTTGATTGTTGTCTTTGATTGTTCTGACTCGCGGAGTTGGTGTAGTGAAGCTGTCTTCTTGTTCGATACGTATGCTGAATTGTGAGCTTGTGGGTTCGTAGATGCGATTGGGATTAAGAATTCAAGACAGTGAATGGAGCGAGCATGGGACAAGCTATATACAGTTCCAGCTCTCGGCCGGAATTGGGTTCAATGACGGCATCTTCACGGCTTCCGCGAGCCAGTGCCCCATTTTTGTTCATAATGTCATCAAGACGGCAGCAAGGCCGGACTTAGGATTGCTGCTAGCTGGACTTAAGACGGCACTATGCCTCTTCGACACAGCTTCAGCGCCGGCACGGTTACGGGGGACACTGCCGCCGCATGGGGCGGCCGTCAATGCCGCAGGTTGGGTTCGAGCTTGACTCTGGTGCGCGGTTCTGGTGGGAAAAGTATCATGATCCAAGCTTCAAGCTAGGGGCCCGCCGAGCCAGCGACGCCGCTAGCTTCGTTCATTGGATATGATGACGCAAAGGAGAAAGAAATTGAGTGTGGGCTGTTATCAGCGCTGCCATTGGAAGCTTCTCCCTTGTTGTTTCCCCGGCCTAGCTCCAAAGTCCGCTTAACATTCCCCCAGCTCGCAGTATGCACGAGTCAGATAAGGTTCGGCATTTTTTTTCTTGGAACAACTCAGCTGTCATGCTGGCTACAGCGGGACGAGCTGCAAGAATACGGCGCAGACGGACGTAGAGGGAGAGCTGCAGCGCCTCTTGCTGCGACTTGCTGACATGGAAGACGATGTTTCTGATGAGCTTCTAGCTTCGTTGCGTCCATGTAAGGTGCTTATTGCCGATCGTCCCGTGTGACGGCGCGACTTGTCATTCGATCTCATCGCCACATTTAGCATTTCCAGAGGAAACCAACCCCTCACTGTCTTACCTCGCTTCGGTGATTGTTACTAATCCTCTTTTGCATCGGCGATAGGCGAAGCCGATGGCTGACTTCGGGGATATGACCGCATGACTTTGTTGATCCGCATTCAATCAGCGGTGAGCCAGGTTCCGCTCTAGAAATTCCAAAGTCTTCTGTCTCCTGGCACTATCCCACCCAAAACGGCTTGGCGGCCCCGGAGATAGGCTTCGCAAATCTGCGTCTCGCAGCCGAGGCACTCAGATAAAGACAATGAAAAACTCCGCTCCGCCTGATGACAGTTATCAGACGGACTGAGGGTCCGCTCCTTTGTTTGGTTCGTCTCCTTGGAGACTCAAATACTGGGTGAACTGGAGTCCGGGGAATCGCGGTCTAGAACGCCAATGCCGTGGACCGTCTCCGTCCGGCGAAGCATTGACGGAGTTTGCTCCGGTGCCATCACCGCTTGATCGGCAAACCGCTGGAAGCTAACGGACTATTTGTCAGGAACCACGACGTCACGTCTCGGCACTTTTTGGTCAATTGAAGACTTTGCGACGTCGAAAAACACCGACCGGAGTATTTACCAGCGGGACATAAGCTATGCGCAAGAAGGTTAAGTATGTACAAATTTTGGGACAGCACCATCCTGCCCATTGAGACCAGCAAGCCTGCCATTTGGGTTAAACAGATGCCCGTGTTCGACCATCATCCGTCATCATTTTACAAGCACTGAGAGTACCAGTCGTTCACAAAGGTGCAAACATAGGGGCTGGCACACTTGGTAGGCCCAGTCCATCCGCTACCTCCGCACTGCCCCCAGCGGACTTGCTCCGAGCCGGATGCCGCAGTCGTCGTGGTCGCACGAGATGATGTCGTCGAGGTGACCAAGGTCGAGGTACGGGTCGTCGTGGTCGGGGGCACAGTCGTGCCGGCACCGCCAGTGGCAGCAGCAGCGAGGACCGAAGAGACGGACGTGTACGCGGGCTTCTTAGCGTAGTTGGCGTCCCAAAGGAGAGCATCTCCCTGACCGCTGAAGGTGTCGGGAATCCAGCTGTACTTGTCTGTGAAGCCCCAGATCGTAACTCCGACACAGCCGTCGACATCGACACAAGACCCGACAACGTTTGCAAAGTCGTTGCCCTGGGTCACGAGGGCGGCGCTGGAGGCTGGCAGGCTGGAGTGGCGGATGTCGAGCTCGGTGTAGGCAACCTCGAGGCCGAGAGCGGTGAAGCGGCGGAGAGCAGTCGCGAGGGCGGAGCGACCGGGCGTGCTGCCGACGATGAGATGACCTTGAAACCCGACGCCGTCAATGGGAGCTCCGGCGTTCTGGACGATGGTGGCCGCCTCGTAGACGCGGTCCGTCTTGGCGCCGTTGTACTCGAGGTTGTAGTCGTTCAAGTACCTATTGCGGGTCAGAAGGGCTTCACATGTCGCATCACTCAAGACAAGGACTCACAACTTGGTGTTGGGGTCCGCAGCTCGCGCAGCTCTGAAAGAGATCGGGAGGTAGTCGGTGCCCAAAGTGTTGTAGAAGACGCTCGCACGCCACGTGCCATCATCTGCAGCTGCCTCGTTGACGACATCCCAGGCGTAGCACTGTCCCAGGTAGTGCTTCATGACGTTAGAAATGTGCGTCTGGATGACTGCTGTGAGTGTTGCGGCCGTCCATGATCCGCTTGACACCCAGTTGGGGAGCTGAGAGTGCCTTGGGCTGTTGTTAGTGGCAGCCAACGCCATACGTAGCCCGGGGACTGTACCAAGTAAGGGTGTGACAT